GTGTCAAGATCAGCCTCTGCGGAGGAGGCTCGTGAAGGACGCTACTGAGGAGTTGGAGGCAGTCGCCCTCCAGCAACAACGGAGGAGCGACGCTCACAACAACGAGCGGAGCGCCGGGCGGCTAAAACGAAGCAGGTTGGCACAGCCGTAGAGGTAGTGCATCTTGTAAGTCATCTCAGTCAGTCAACCCAAGGCAACACCTAGGTCTGTCCCGTAACTTCCTGCCAGCAGCAAGCCTCGAAGTGCACATAGCCTGGCACAAGCACTCTCACCATTAAGTCATTTTTAGATGAAACCTTTAGGCTTTAATTGTATCACGGAACATTGATGAACGGTGTGTTTGTTTTTGTTATTATTATATTATTGTTGTTGTGGATTTCTCTTCTAGATAATTCGTGTGATCTCGTTTTATACAGGTGCTACGTATTTCAGTAAAACTTTAATTGTATTGTATATTCCTCTTGGGGCATCACCCCGGTAGCTCTACCATTGCCAGCAGGTACAACTATTTATACTGGTAGGAACCACCTGGTTCCACCAGCCCACAGGGGATTAATGTGTCTGTCCGTCCGTCGTGCATCCAAAAATGGGAGGGGTGGGGCTGGGTGGAGAGGGGAGGATGGGGAGGGGCTGGGGCTGGGTGGGGAGGGTGGGGAGGGGCTGGGTGGGGAGGGGCTGGGTGGGGGGTGGGAGGGGTGGGGCTGGGTAGGGAGGGTCTGGTCACCCCGTGGTGCCCTTATAAAACTCAACGTTTAACCTACTCACGCCGGCTTGTGCCCGCCCTCACAGTCGGGCATATTTGCAGAATACACCACGCCGCCGTTGACCCTGGCCATTGACCGACCAACCCATCGTTCCTACCAGCTCCCTCCGCAGGACAATGTGTTTTCGTCTTAAGTTGATGCAATGCATGAGTCCCTGAGGCTGTAACAATATTCGGTTTAGGTATTTCACTTCAGCTAATCATTTTTAGCAACTTCATGTCAAGCCATCTCAACATTCGTACACGGTACAGGTTATCAGATCATCATTCCACAACGGTTTGGGGAGTAATTGCGCAGTTCAGACCTTTTGCCAGATCTACTGGACATCTGTGAAAAAGAGCTTCATAGCTCATCGGATTCCTCCAGGATAACATAACGAGTGTGGTTCTGCAAATGCCGATGTTAAGACCGAAACAGGAGGAGGATTTCTCCACAACTCTGGCTGTCGCCTGATGATGCCGGTTGTTGTAATTACCGGCGAAACGTTACGACACTCGAATTGTAAATGTTGTAGTCGGTTCACTCTCCAACACACTGGTGTGCTGTACTAGTAACGAATTGCCACGTTTTGTTTACGTGACAAACCTTACTAATTGGCTGTGTCGGGTGGTGAACGGAGTTTTCAGTTTCATGCATTAGGTATAGCCCTGTGAGCCATGAGGCTCTCGACTCGGGTGCAACCGCAACAAACAAAACATGAACAAAGAACATCTTAAAGTGACGACGCGCAGCAGAAACATCCAGGAAAACCAGTAGAATCTTCCAGAAAAAAGCACCGTATATCAACGCTGTGTGCAAAAATCCCAATGGTCAAACAATAACAACCATAAGACAATTTAGATGAAGTTATCAGCCTAACTCCGTACTTCAACAAACATGGCTTAACCATAAGTTCTCGAAATCGCCAAAATAAAGCTATAAAAACAATGTAACAGTGATAATAGGAACTGTGATAAAATGTTTACAATAAACGATATACATAACATGTGTAGAGGAGTAAAATGGGGACGTGACGTCAGGTGTGCCGTTCAGTGCGATGACGTCACGTCTCCTAGGGTACTTAAGGGATACCCTGTGACGTAAGCGGGGTCACTGTGGGAACGGGTAAAGTAAACAGGGTGAAGAGGGAACCAGGGATAGAGAGAGGGATCGAATAGGGAGTCTGGGGAGAAGCCGGTGGTAGCCGTAGAGGTGCTTCTCTCTCCGGTCGGTGGAGTCGGCAGAGTCCACGATCCGACACGAGAGAGAGAGACCGGAGCTAGCCGGCAGGGACCCGCACTCAGAGTAGGACCCCCCTAGCCCCTGGGAGTTGTGTACCCTGCTGTGTAATATTGATAAGCTTTAATAAACCCTGGCGGAAGCCCTTAACTTACCTTTGTCTCCGAGTACGTCCGTCGGAACTTCTCTACACATGTACGACCAAACTTTGCAGCCAAAGCTGGCAGCATGAGTCACTCCATTTATATCTACGCGATGACCCCCCCCCCCCCCCCCCAAAAAAAAAAAACCTTCTCTTTTGGATATTCGGTTTGATTCCATCGAGGATTGTTGGGCACGTGGCAGGCAAAGCCGAGAATCTATCGGGACCCGCTGATTGGCGGGCGGGCGGTGACATCACACTCGGCCATTGTGGTGTCTCGTGGCCACCTCGCGGCCACAGCAGCTGCGGCGCGTGGCAAACGCCCCCTGGCGGTCACCCACTCAGACGCCCGCCATCCTCGACGCCATCCCTCCCCCCTGTGCATGGCTGCTGAGATCCAACCGCATGGGACAGACTCCCGTTTGCGTTTCGGTCATCGGGAAGCGATGCCAACAACGTTTCGATTTGTGTTTTTTTTTGAGATTGCAAAGATGTTGTCACGCGATGGAGGAATATCGATGTTATTATTATAATCGTGAGATAAATCATTTGAAGGGGGATTTAGTAAGTGCAAGTCAACTTACTGAAACGCGCGTGGAATTTGAAACAGAACTTTCCTGATAAGGGACTTGTTTGCTTTGGGGGGATGTTGAGCACTCTGACCTCAGCGAGGCAAATACTGCATAGCCTTGTCAATCATACCAGACGCGAGCCTGAGCTCACTTCAAACCTTGTTTATGGCATAAACAATATCAAGGGACTGCTTTAGCAATACAGGGACTCCGCTACGTACGAACGAGTTAAGTCCCAGAGGTCTGTTCGTAAGTCGGTTTGTTCGTAAGTCCAACTTTACTTCTATAGATTCCAAACATGTTGTAGGGCATCTACACTAAACACGGGGAGTGGCTTTAAAAGTTGTATTATCTTCTTTAGATGAAGATGCCACTGGTTCTTCACGTTCTGCAGATGTAGATGCCACTGGTTCTTCATATTCTACAGATGTAGATGCCACTGGTTCTTCACGTTCTGCAGATGTAGATGCCACTGGTTCTTCATATTCTGCAGATGTAGATGCCACTGGTTCTTCACGTTCTCTAGATGTAGATGCCACTGATTCTTCATATTCTGCAGATGTAGATGCAACTGGTTCTTCACGTTCTGTAGATGTAGATGCCACTGGTTTTTCACGTTCTGCAGATGTAGATGTCACTGGTTCTTCACGTTCTGCAGGTGTAGATGTCACTGGTTCTTCACGTTCTGCAGATGTAGATGCCACTGGTTCTTCATGTTCTGTAGATGTAGATGCCACTGGTTCTTCACGTTCTGCAGATGTAGATTCCACTGGTTCTTCACATTCTGCAGATGTAGATGCCACTGGTTCTTCATGTTCTGCAGATGCCACTGGTTCTTCACGTTCTGCAGATATAGATGCCATTGGTTCTTCACGTTCTGCAGATGTAGATGCCACTGGTTCTTCACGTTCTGCAGATGTAGATGCCACCGGTTCTTCATGTTCTGCAGATGCCACTGGTTCTTCACGTTCTGCAGATGTAGATGCCACTGGTTATTCATGTTCTGCAGATGCCACTGGTTCTTCATGTTCTGCAGATGTAGATGCCACTGGTTCTTCACGTTCTGCAGATGTAGATGCCACTGGTTCTTCACGTTCTGCAGATGTAGATGCCACTGGTTCTTCACGTTCTGCAGATGTAGATGCCACTGGTTCTTCACGTTCTGCAGATGTAGATGCCACTGGTTCTTCACGTTCTTCAGATGTAGATGCCACTGGTTCTTCACGTTCTGTAGATGTAGATGCCACTGGTTCTTCACATTCTGCAGATGTAGATGCCACTGGTTCTTCACGTTCTGCAGATGTAGATGCCACTGGTTCTTCATGTTCTGCAGATGCCACTGGTTCTTCACGTTCTGCAGATATAGATGCCACTGGTTCTTCATGTTCTGCAGATGCCACTGGTTCTTCACGTTCTGCAGATGTAGATGCCACTGGTTCTTCACGTTCTGCAGATGTAGATGCCACTGGTTCTTCACGTTCTGCAGATGTAGATGCCACTGGTTCTTCACGTTCTGTAGATGTAGATACCACTGGTTCTTCATGTTCTGTAGATGTAGATGCCACTGGTTCTTCACGTTCTGCAGATGTAGATGCCACTGGTTCTTCACGTTCTACAGATGTAGATGCCACTGGCTCTTCTTGTGGCACCTACATGACATACATAATGGTTTGTTCGCATCTCTGAAAGTTCGCAAGTCGAATGCTCGTAAGTAGAGGAGTCCCTGTACAACCTCCTGATTGGGTGGAACCAACCTGTGAGACCCAGCACGGAAACACCGTGGAGTGGAATGACTCCATGCCCACGACGGAGCATCTGCAATGCGACATTAGGTCCACCCCACTTCGCCTTCTCAATTCAAATCCTTACGCGGATCCTACCTCACCAGCCGAGAAATAAATCCGCCATTACGCATCCTCATCCTGCCCCAGATGCCTTCCCGACACGATCCAATGATGTGAAGGGGCCTTTTGGTCACCCCGAATATTAAACAATCCCAATCCTAAACACAGTACTCGCGTACTGCAACAGAATGAACGCTACTACGCATACAGAATATCACTGGCAAGTATTTTTGTACCCTGCAATTTGTTGACAAACCCAATGCATTCGAGCCATCATATTTCCATTAGCAGAGCAGACGCAGCACAGTTTGTATGTTTCTGTCATTTGCTATCAGGCCGCCTGCCTTCTGGGAAACCACGGAGAGAATCGTTATCGCTGCTCGTTCGTTTGTTTGATCGAGATAATGCCATCGGGGGGAGGAGAGTGGGGGTACGTGGGAGGGAGTGTAAATATCTGACACAGTTGTTAAAGAGTCTGGCAAACGCAGGGCACCGCCGCAGACTGGTGGACGCGCTGGTAAGAACCGACTACTCCGTGTGCTTCATTCACGTAATTTCCGTGTAACGATGCATCGCAGCCACGCAAGGGTCGTGTCGTGAGCCACGCGCACTCAGCGGTGTGGTCAAGTGTGATTTGAAGCCACACACTTAAGCGGTTGTGCTTTCGCTACGTTGTCCCCACCTGAAGGACGCTCGTGTTGCGCCCGAAACGTCGTGATTTAATTTAGTTAATTTTTTACCTACGTTACTTTACCGAAAAAACAAAGAGTATGGTCAAGTATGGTCAAACAAACCCTCGTGACCGACAGCGTGGTGAGGCCTTCGTCCAGCAATGGATTTACAGAGGGCCTTAGCGAACTATTAACGTGCTGATTTTATATTAGTCATCTCACAATCAGTTTTCCTCGATCGGGATACATACCACGCTGCTACTCTGTTGCCACTGTGATTCCAGCCAGTGGGGAGAAACGCATTTTGACTTCTGCAGAGTAAAAACATCTCGTACAGTGGCTCACAGTAGAACAAGAGGGAGGTAATCTTATTGGTTCTTTCGGTAAAGTCACGTAGAAGGGAAGTAATAAAATAATAAAAATAAAACATAACAAAATAATTCTCACGACGTTTCGGCCACAACGCAAGCAGCCGTCTTCAGGTGGAAAACAGGTCTGTCGAGAAGGCAGAGTCTGAATTTTATTTTTATTTTCATTATTTTATTACTTCCCTTCTACGTGACTTTACCGAAAGAACCAAGAAGATGAATCCCTGCAGTCACGAAAGCTTTAAATCGAAATTTAAGAGGGAGGTAACTTTATTTATTTAACTATCTATCAAGAGTTGATGTTGCACTGCGGTTGTCCACAATGTAAAATGCATCGGCAGTTGTCGCATGCTGGTCGTACTTTTTAAACTTGCACATAGAGCGTACAACGGTGATATTCTTTAGTTGTTGTGGCGTGCCCGTGATTAATCGAGTGCAGTTGTTCCTGCATCAGGCACCCGGCGGCTATCCGAGGCCCAATCGTTCGGAGGGGCTCAGGCGCCGGCTATTACGGGCGCGGTGGATATTGGACTCGGGGCCCATGTCGTTCCTTGTAGGAGGGCCCATGGGCCGAGTCAAAGTGTCGCTGTTCAAATGCGCATCAAAGTGGTGCTCACCTCCGCTGTGCCACCCTCAGCCGGTGGGGGAAATTCGACATTCGACCACAAAGCGGTTACATATTTTATTCAACGCAGAGGGATGATGGGGCTGAGTTCCAACCCTCGACCAGGGTTTGAACTCGCAAACTTGGGATTGCGAGCCGCTCGCCCCTACTGCCAACTCCCGGGTCACCTCGCGCTACCCGCCAGGTGCAGGTGCGGGGATTTCACAATTCTCTTGTGTGATACACCAACCCCAGCTCCCAGAGCACAGCATCACAGGCGAGCGCCAACGCCACCACCACCGCCACCACCACCACCACCACCACAGTAAAAGAAAGCGGAGTACAGGAGCTAAACATTTCGATTTAAAGCTTTCGTGATTGCAGGGATTCATCTTCTTGGTTCTTTCTGTAAAGTCACGTAGAAGGGAAGTAATAAAATAATAAAAATAAAACATTATAAAATAATTCTCAGGACGTTTCGGCCACAACGCAAGCAGCCGTCCTCATTCTTTACCTGAGGACGGCTGCTTGCGTTGTGGCAGTAACGTCGTGATAATTGTATTTTATTATGTTCTATTTTTATTATTTTATTACTTCCCTTCTACGTGACTTTACCGAAAGAACCAAGAAGAGGAGCTAAACACTCAAAATGGCAATTCACAGGATAAATAATGCAAAAAAACGGAGAACAAACACGGTTTAAAATTAAGAAAACGAGACGCGACACACGGTTTGTGCATCTCGGCAAAGTGCTACACGGTCTTGAAGCGTCTTGAAGCGTCGCGCGTCCGCTGGTGCGTGTCGCAGGAGGATGTCGGGACGCGCCGTGAGGAGTCTCGTGGCGTGGTGCGCGCTGGTGGCCATCGCCGCGCCTCTCAGCACAGCAGGTGCGACTGTGGGGCAGTGGGAGAAGAATCGCACGCACGCCGCACAGTCCCAGTTACACTCTGTCCACGTCTTCTTGGTTCTTTCGGTAAAGTCGCGTAGAAGCGAAATAATAAAATAATAAAAATAAAACATAATAAAATAATTCTCACGACGTTTCGGCCACAACGCAAGCAGCCGTCTTCAGGTGGAGAACAGGTCTGTCGAGAAGACAGAGACGGCTGCTTGAGTTGTGGCCGAAACGTCGTGAGAATTATTGTATTGTTTTATTTTTATTATTTTATTATAGTCCTTCTACGTGACTTTACCGAAAGAACCAAGAAGATGAATCCCTGCAGTCACGAAAGCTTTAAAACTCTGTCCATGGTTGGACTTTTAAAAAATATATATAGATATAAAGGACAAATGTTGACCCAAATGTCGTTCGGCTTCAGAACTAAAAAGGGCCACGGTTCCCGTTCCTCGTGCTCTTCCCGACAGTGGCGAACATCGCATGCGGCAAACCGGCAGACATCGTGCACGGGAACTGGAGCTGGGTAAACAGCACCACCATCGTGTACTCGTGCCAGCCTGGGTGAGTGGAAATCGTGCAACGATGCAGTGTCCGCGTTGTACATCTGTGATGGGCCTTACATCGGTTACGAATCTTCGTAAGACAAGTTGGGCTCGCGGTTGGATTGACTCGGCTACAATGCGGGGCCCAAAGCTGCGAATCGTGTAAAATAGATCGTGTCTAAGATTCAAGTTAAGGGGCCGTCCATAAATGACGTCACGCACCTAGGGAGGGGGGGGGTCAGACATTTGTGACGATGTGTGACGAGGGGGGGGGGGGGGTTGAGAAATGTGACGTCACATCAAAATGCGCAACCTTAAATAGACAACACGTTCTACTTAATTAAATATACTTTTTAATAAATGTTTTCTACTACAACATCAGAGTGCAGTGCCACATTAAATACGCACTACAATGACAATAGTTTAAAGCGATTTGAAGCATTTTGGGGGGGGGGGCAGAGTTTTGTGACGTCATATTTGAGGAGGGGGTCTGACTTTTTGTGACTCCGTGTGACGATGGGGGGGGGGGGGTGCTCAAAAATCGTCCAAAATCGCGTGCACTGTCCATTATCAGAGTTATGTTTTTTGTTTGCATTATGACTGCAGGTATTGCGGTCTATGTAAACATGACTCCTTGTAAGAAAAGGTGTCAGTTTTGTTGCCAGATAGAAGGGTAAAAAAACAATTATCATATTTTTTACTGGCAAATGAGGTTCCAATGGTATTGCCATCGTAGTAAAAAAAAAAACCATTGAATGTCAAATAGAGAAGTAACAGATATACCACAAATAATAATAATGTATTGTGCCCATAGTGAAACTGAAGAACAAATGTGACCTAAGGTCTTCGCTCATTTACCAGCTTCACATTCCTTATTTCCGTACAAGTACTGGAGGAAGGGCCTTTTCTATTGATGCCCCCAGGGTCTGGAATGCTATCGCCAATAAACTGCAACTTGGATCACTACCTGTGAGATCTTCACTCAAGACTGCTCTAGAGGAGTTGTACACCCCTAGCTGCCACTGCTATTCAGAATGACCTGAAATCAAATGTATCATTCCGGATGACCGCTGCAAAGTATTATCTTGAGTTTTGATTATAGTGTGCTGATCTTTAAAGGTGCATTGAAAAATTGTGATACTCCTACTGATACTCCTGCTGTTATGGAGTGACTCATGCTGCCAGCTATGGCTGCAAAGATTGGTCGTACATGTTATGTATATCGTTTATTGTTAAAATTGAATCACAGTTCCTATGATCACTGTTACATTGTTTTAATAGCTTTATTTTGGTGATTTTGAAAACGGTTTGGTCTAGCCATGTTTGTTTGTTGTAGTACAGAGTTAGCGTGATAACTTTAATCTAAATTGTATTATGGTTGTTGTTATTGTTTGACTTGCATCCCACTTGGGTTTTTGCACACAGCGTTGAAATACGGTGCTTTTTCTGGAAGACTTTGCAGGAATAGAATGGCCAATTCATAGAATTGGCCAAACTTCCTCAGCTACAAAAACTCCCTGAAAAAGTAAAACATCTTCTTTAGACATGACAAGGCGTCTCCTGAATTCATATATAAATGACCAGCATTGTAATAACGATTTACAACAACAACATTACAAAGTCTTCAGCTTGTCAACACGGGCGATCGCCCTCGGTGTTGCATGACGCGATGTGCATTGTGTGTGTGTGTACTGTGTGTGTGTACTGTGTGTGTGTTGTGTGTGTGTACTGTGTGTGTGTACTGTGTGTGTACTGTGTGTGTGTTGTGTGTGTGCACTGTGTGTGCGTGTACTGTGTGTGTGTACTGTGTGTGTATACTGTGTGTGCACTGTGTGCGTGTGTTGTGTGTGTGTACTGTGTGTGTGTACTGTGTGTGTGTACTGTGTATGTACTGTGTGTGTGCACTGTGTGCGTGTGTTGTGTGTGTGTACTGTGTGTGTGTACTGTGTGTGCTGTGTGTGTGCTGTGTGTGTACTGTGTGTGTACTGTGTGTGTGCTGTGTGTACTGTGTGCTGTGTGTGTGCTGTGTGTACTATGTGTGTGTGTACTGTGTGTATTGTGTGTGTATACTGTGTGTATACTGTGTGTGTGGGGAGCGGTAGTGCAACGGTTAGCGCACTGCGTTACGAACCTGGTGACCCAAGTTCGATTCCCGCTCACGGCCAACACCGGTGAGGATTATCTGAACCGGTCCTGCGCCTCCCCTAGGTCGACTCAGCCTCAAATAAGTGCCTGGTGCGGTGCGTAAAAGCATCGCCACTGGGGAGACAAAGGCGCTGCTGGCCACCCTTCATGGGTGCTCGCTAACAGCACTTGCCCGGGCCGTCTGTTAAGGCTACACGGGGGATCTTTGTCTCTGTGTAAGCAAACATTCTGATGCTCACGGCGCAGATTCCTGCTGGGAGGGCTGATCACACGCACGTGCAAGTCAGGCAGCTGGAACCCGCACTACCCGCCCCATTGCACGGGTGAGTGAGTGAGTGGGTGAGTGAGTGGGTGAGTGAGTGAGTGGGTGAGTGAGTGGGGTGAGTGAGTGGGTGGGTGAGTGAGTGGGTGGGTGAGTGAGTGGGTGAGTGAGTGGGTGGGTGGGTGAGTGAGTGGGTGGGTGAGTGAGTGGGTGAGTGAGTGAGTGTGCCCGCTACCGCAGCACAGAACCACGGCCAAACGCGACCCCGACGTGACCTCGTTCGGGCGGTGGTGGCGGCTGCTACTCACGCAGCTGCTATAATTTGGTGATACAGGGAGGAACAATGTTCCACACTGCCCACCAGGGATTATTTAGCTGTCTGTCTGACTGTCTGTCTGTCGTGCATAAATAAATATATAATACACACAGCTCTTTGATTGGTGGAGACCTTACAAACAGCTCTTTGATTGGTGGAGACCTACTGCCGGGTACGGAGAGGGGAGGTGCCTAAGGGAGGAGGGTCAGGGGAGGGGCCTATGGAAGGGGGGAGTCAGGAGAGGGGCCTGAGGGGGGGGGGGGGGGTTCAGGGGAGGGGCCTGAGGGGGGGGTCAGCGGAGGGGCCTGAGGGAGGGGGGGTCAGGGGAGGGGCCTAAGGATATGGGTGGGGGTGGTCAGGGGAGGGGCCTAACAGAAGGGGGGTCAGGGGAGGGGTCTAAGGGAAGGGGGGTCAGGGGAGGGGCCTGAGGATATGGGGGGGGGGTGGTCATGGGAGGGGCCTAAGGGAAAGGGGGTCAGGGGAGGGGCCTAAGGGGGGAGGGGCCTAAGGGGGGGAGGGGCCTAAGGGAGGGGGGGGGGCGATAGTTAAGGGGGCTGTCTGCCTGGCTACCTAAAGTCAAGTTATCTATATATATAAAATCGCAAATCTGTCTGTCTGTCTGTGTGTCGCCGGACCATACGCAGTTTCATTGGACGGCGGTTGCCCCTGGCAACGGGTAGCGACGCATTCGCTGCGGGGTGGACGCCATTTTTAATTCCCGTTAAAAATATGCGCACGCATTAACACGTGACTCTGAGGTAAATTCATCAAAGTTTCACGTCCTCTTCACTCCCCCCCCCACCCCAATGTGTGCAATTACTATTATAGGGTCGGTAGATAATAAAATTATAGCGATTAGGCAGTATTATTGTAGCGCGGGGGGGGGGGGGGGTTAACGGCCCCAGTACCCAGCCTCAGCCGGGTGGGCAATTTAGGCGAGGCCGGAGGCTCTGCACGGTACTAGGCCTCGACACCCCACCACACTATAGGCCGTACATATTACTGCACAGCGGCCGAGGAGATCCTGGCTGGGGGGGGGGGGGGGGCAGGGGTAGCAGCCCATCTGTGTATATATGTAAGGTTTTTAAGAAATATATTTTTCACCCGGGCAAAGCCGGGTACTTCCGCTAGTCTTTTATACATACAGGTCGCAACAACAGGTTCCACACTGCCCACCAGGGATTATTTGTCTGTCTGTCGTGCACGAATGCGCTGTCCAAGAATGCGCTGTCCAACCAAGTTCCTACCTGCCCACTCCGAAGGAACGTGTTTTTCGAAAAGTTTTTTGGCTTGGCCATGTTTGTTTGTTGTAGTACAGAGTTAGACTGATGGCCTTAATCTAAGTTGTCTTGTGGTCGTTGTTGTTGTTTGACTTGCATCCCACGGGGATTTTTGCACACAGCGTTGGTGTACGGTGCTTTTTCTGCAATATTTTGCTGTCTTTTCTTGGATTTTCTGTTTGCACTAAGTCACATATTCACTTTAAGATGTTTTCTTGTTCATGTTTTTGTTTTTTGTTTGTTGCGGTTGCACCCGATTCAAGAGCCGAATAGCTCACAGGGCTATACCTAATAAATTAACTTGAACTAATCCAGCACAGTGGAGGCGGGCATTGTTGGTGGATCGCGTGAATGTCGTGAAGACTCCCCATCCCGTGGGCTTCGGGGAGATGCCATAACCCTGGCTCGCCAGGAGAAGGCGGCACAGCACAGTGTGGCACTCGCATTATTCCGTCCGCATGGGATGCAGTGTTGCTCCCTCGCACATATGAACAATCACTAATTGACCGATAACACCTGAGTACGTAGAGGACTGCAGAACTTGGGCATTATTGGCGTCGCCTCACCGCATGGCTGCTTTCCTGCCTGCTCTGTGGTTCCCTTCTCACACCTTTGAGTGGCTCTCACACTCTCTTTGAGAGTGAGTGTATACTGCACGGCCCGTTACAATTGGAAATAATTATAGTTGTCATCATGTGCACTGCTGGATTTAGTGTTGACCATGCACGCTGTTATGCGCACGATTTCTCATTTAGGAATTATGGAGGAATTGTTTTCTACGACATCATTTTCATTTGCCTTTTTTTGAAGGGATCTGTTCTGCCGTATCCACCACTCGGACCTTTCTCCATCGTCAATGCCACTGGAATTCTCCCCGCCCGTCTTGTCTGAGGGTCCCAATTTGTGGGTCCAAATATCCCAAATTTAGGAAATGACCATCCTCTATCGCCCACACGTGATTATCCATCGCAATCATTGTGCCCCTGTACATGCAGATGAATTCCCCAGATCCCTCTTGCAATTGAGACTCAGCCCCGATCTCTTGATTTCTCACCTGGCGAAGCAAAATGAACTTGAGCAGTCGGGGATGGGTCCTCTTGGTTTGTGCCAGACAGACTGGCGCCTGAAGCGGGGTGCGTTATTGGGCGGTCGTGGTTAGGCCACAGAGGCATCAGGTCGAGACTGGCCCCTTTGTTCTCACCCTGGATTTAGGAGACCCAGTGCCAGGGGAGATGTGGCTCCATACGGCGCATCCGCTTGCAACAGGGTCCTGTCCCTGCAGAGTCCTCGATTACACCCCACCACCCCACCACCCCACCACCCAACACCCCACCACCCACCACCCACCACCCCACCACCCCACCACCCCACCACCCACCACCCCACCACCCCACCACCTCACCACCCCACCACCCCACCACCCCACCACCCCACCACCCCACCACCCACCATCCCACCACCCACCACCCCACCACCCCACCACCCACCACCCCACCACCCCACCACCCCACCACCCATCACCCCACCACCCACCACCCCACCAGCTCACCACCCCACCACCCACCACCCCACCACCCCACCACCCCACCACCCATCACCCCAACACCCCACCATCCCACCACCCACCACCCCGCCACCCACCACCCCACCACCCACCACCCCACCACCCCACCACCCACCACCCCACCACCCACCACCCACCACCCACCACCCCACCACCCATCACCCCACCACCCACCACCCCACCACCCCACCACCCACCACCCCCACCACCCCACCACCCCACCACCCATCACCCCACCACCCACCACCCCACCACCTCACCACCCCACCCACCACCCCACCACCCCACCACCCCATCACCCCACCACCCACCACCCCACCACCTCACCACCCCACCACCCACCACCCCACCACCCCACCACCCCACCACCCATCACCCCAACACCCCACCACCCACCACCCCACCACCCCATCACCCCACCACCTCATCACCCCACCACCCCAACACCCACCACCCCACCACCCACCACCCCAACACCCCACCACCCACCACCCCACAACCCCACCACCCCTCCCAGGAGCAAAGGGGTAGTACCGGCGCCACGACTGAAGTTAAAGAACGAAGCCGATCGTCTCTCTCGAGTCGACCGAACGAGTTCCGATGCGGAATTCCAAACGCTGGCTCGGGGTGAGGGGGGGGTGGGGGCATCGATCGAGATTGGTGTCGATGTTTTTGTTGTTTTGTTTGTCCTCCTCTTGACCAACAAGTCGTGTGCCGACGTCCTCCTCTGGACTCAAATGCTGACATGAGCGCGCTGGCGCAGGACAAGACGTACTTCACCTCCGGGGAGACCGTGCTGTTCACCTGCCATGATCGAAACATGTACACGCTCTTGTGCGACAAGGGCCGGTGGCGGCCGATTGGCAGATATCGAAAGTGCAAAGGTAAGCGTAAGGTGAACGTTTGAAAGTGTGAATCATTTTGATAGCATGGCTGCTCGTCATCGAACGCGGACGGGTCACCGCGTCGCGCGCTTTCGGATCCGCTTCTGGATGCGCTTCTGGATGCGCTTCTGGATGCGCTTCTGGAAGCGCTTCTGGGTGCGCTTCTGGATGCGCTTCTGGATGCGCTTCTGGATGCGCTTCTGGATGCGCTTCTGGATGCGCTTCTGGATGCGCTTCTGGACGCGCTTCTGGACGCGCTTCTGGACGCGCTTCTGGACGCGCTTCTGGACGCGCTTCTGGACGCGCTTCTGGACGCGCTTCTGGACGCGCTTCTGGAGTGCTTCTGGATGCGCTTCTGGATGCGCTTCTGGATGCGCTTCTGGATGCGCTTCTGGATGCGCTTCTGGATGCGCTTCTGGATGCGCTTCTGGATGCGCTTCTGGATGCGCTTCTGGATGCGCTTCTGGATGCGCTTCTGGATGCGCTTCTGGATGCGCTTCTGGATGCGCTTCTGGATGCGCTTCTGGATGCGCTTCTGGATGCGCTTCTGGATATGCTTCTGGATGCGCCAGTGCCAGGGGAGATGCGGCATGGAGCCGCATCTCCCCTGGCACTGGGTCCCCTAAATCCAGGCTCAGAACAAAGAGCCACTCCCGGCCTCACGAAGTTCAACGTAGCATGCATACACGCGGTGAGACGAATTATTATTATTATGAAACTTGATTTGAAGCTTTCGTGACTGCAGGAATTACTCTTTGGTTCTTTCGGTAAAGTCACGTGGAAAGAAAATAAATTGAATAATAGAGCACAACGTTTCGATTGCAACACAAGCAACCGTCATCAGATAGAACTCAATTTGAGAGAGAGACAAAACACAGACACGGAGACACACACACAAGCAGAGAGAGACAACCCAGACACACAGAGAAAGACACAACACAGACACACACAGAGAGAGACAACACAGACACAGAGAGAGAGAGAGACAACACAGATACACAGAGAGAGAGACACACAACATAGACACACAGAGAAAGACACAACACAGAGACACACAGAGAGAGACACACAGACAGACACACAAGCAGAGAGAGACAACACAGATACACACAGAGAGAGACACACAACATAGACACACAGAAAGAGACACACAACATAGACACACGGAGCGTCACAACATAGACACTCTGTGTGTCTATGTTGTGTGTCTGTGTTTTGTCTCTCTCTCAAATGTAGTTCTACTTGATGACGACTGCTTGTGTGGCAATCGAAACGTCGTACTCAATTATTTAATGCATTTTCTTTCTACGTGACTTTACCGAAAGAATCAAAGAATTATTAGTATTATTAAGTTTGTCGTTTAAATCTGTAATTGTGGAATCCTCTTGATGATGCCTGCAGATCGTGTCGCCCTTCAAAAACAGAGCATCTTAGCTGAGTGGACTTGACTCGATGGAGAAACACACTCCCGATTCAGAAATGTACTAACTACGTTGATGAAAGGCTGCGTGGGAAGTCGTGCCAGTGGGTGAACGACCTGGGCACAGGTCCCCGCTGTGTCATGCGCCTTAGGTGGGATCCGTTGAGTAGAAACGACGCAGCCTCCTTAAAAGCCGAGAGACTTTGAAAACTGTTAATTTTTTTTTTCCCACGGAAACGAGCGATTTGGTTGAAAAACAACAAACATCAAAAACAATTATTAAGACTTGGTGTGGGAATTACGCATTGCGAATGGAACGTGCAGATATCGAATCAAAGAGACGGGATGGTGATCTGTAACGTGGTTACAGAGCCTAAACCGAGGATGTCCACTAACCCATTACTCTACAACCATCGGTGTGAAAAATACGTCTATATTATTGATATATTACCTTGTCTGTTGTGCTATATCTATCGCGTTAGTTTATCATTTTAAAATAGTTTAAACTTGTATGTGTGTTGAACTTCTGTCGCACCGTACGTAGCCAACCGTGCCATTCAGAGGTGCGAGCGCTAAACAGACGTGCGGTAAAAATAGTATAAACACAGTCGCCATAAATGTGTAGTCTTGATTTGAAGCTTTCGTCACCTACGTGACTTTACCGAAAGAGCCAAAGGGTATAAATGTGTCGTGTCAACGATTCAGAGTGTCTAGGAGCCACCTTCTTCATGAACACCTCTCACGGTCTCGTCCACACACAGTGGATCAGCCGAGCCTGTGCACAACCCGAATCGAGATTGCCGACAACCTCCAGCAGCACAATGTTTGTTCCTCGTCATAACGAAGCTCGTTCATCCTCCCTTTGTTGCTGCTAATTCTACATAATTCACGGGCATAATATGACTTTGAGACCCACCCCCCCCACCTCCTACGCATTCCACAAGTAGTGACTAATCCCATATCTGAATTTTCCATAAATATGCTAAATTCCTCTGTTGACATGCAAATTCCTTTGTCAAGGCGCCCTTCTCTCCTCTAACCCAGCTTAAATATACGCTGCCAAGCTTGGTGGTGTTCATTCAGACGCTGTCTTCTCGACAGACCTGGTCTTCACCTGAGGGACGGCTGCTTGCGTTGTGGCCGAAACGTCGTGAGAATTAGATTTTATTACGTTTTATTTTTATTATTTTATTATTTCCCTTTCTACGTGACTTTACCGAAAGAACCAAGAAGAGGAGTATTTAGTCTATACAGTCTGTCGACGCAGCATGTACAGTATTTACAGTCTATACGAGCCTCGCTGGCCGAGTTCACGTACCCGCCTCCATGATTAGCTCAGGCAATGAGAGCGACGTACCCTCTCAGCCAATGAGAGCGACGTACCCTCTCAGCCAATCAGACCCCCACACCCCTTCGCGATTCGATTACGTGGAGACCGACTGCCGCCACGTGGCAGCTTTCCCAGGGCTTGATCCGGGACCACAGTGGTTGCTGGCTGTGTGTGCCCTGATGCCAGACATTGTCATCCCCGCACTTCTACTAGACTCCTCAAATCCCACATGAAGTCATCCCACACTTCTACCAGACTCCACAAATCCCACATGAAGTCATCCCACACTTCTACCAGACTCCACAAATCCCACATGAAGTCATCCCACACTTCTACCAAACTCCACAAATCCCACATCAAGTCATCCCACACTTCTACCAGACTCCTCAAATCCCACATCAAGTCGTCCCACACTTCTACCAGACTCCTCATATCCCACATTACGTCATCCCACACTTCTACCAGACTCCTCATATCCCACATCAAGTCATCCCACACTTCTACCAGACTCCTCATATCCCACATTATGTCATCCCACACTTCTACCAGACTCCTCAAATCCCACATCACGTCATCCCACACTTCTACCAGACTCCTCAAATCCCACATCACGTCATCCCACACTTCTACCAGACTCCTCAAATCCCACATCACGTCATCCCACACTTCTACCAGACTCCTCAAATCCCACATCACGTCATCCCACACTTCTACCAGACTCCTCAAATCCCACATTACGTCATCCCACACTTCTACCAGACTCCTCAAATCCCACATCAAGTCATCCCACACTTCTACCAGACTCCTCAAATCCCACATCACGTCATCCCACACTTCTACCAGACTCCTCAAATCCCACATTAAGTCATCCCACACTTCTACCAAACTCCACATAACCCACATTAAGTCATCCCACAGTTCTACCAGACTCCACAAATCCCACATCAAGTCATCCCACACTTCTACCAGACTCCACAAATCCCACATTAAATCATCCCACACTTCTACCAGACTCCACAAATCCCACTTGAAGTCATCCCACACTTCTACCAGACTCCACAAATCCCACATTAAGTCATCCCCACACTTCTACCAGACTCCACAAATCCCACATGAAGTCATCCCCGCACTTCAACCAAACTCCACAAATCCCACATTAAGTCATCCCACACTTCTACCAGACTCCACAAATCCCACATGAAGTCATCCCCGCACTTCAACCAAACTCCACAAATCCCACATGAAGTCATCCCCACACTTCTACCAGACTCCACAAATGCCACATTAAGTCATCCCCGCACTTCAACCAAACTCCACAAATCCCACATTAAGTCATCCCACACTTCTACCAAACTCCTCAAATCCCACATTAAGTCATCCCACACTTCTACCAGACTCCACAAATCCCACATTAAGTCATCTCCACACTTCTACCAGACTCCACAAATCCCACATGAAGTCATCCCACACTTCTACCAGACTCCACAAATCCCACATGAAGTCATCCCACACTTCTACCAAACTCCACAAATCCCACATCAAGTCATCCCACACTTCTACCAGACTCCTCAAATCCCACATCAAGTCGTCCCACACTTCTACCAGACTCCTCATATCCCACATTACGTCATCCCACACTTCTACCAGACTCCTCATATCCCACATCAAGTCATCCCACACTTCTACCAGACTCCTCATATCCCACATTACGTCATCCCACACTTCTACCAGACTCCTCAAATCCCACATCACGTCATCCCACACTTCTACCAGACTCCTCAAATCCCACATCACGTCATCCCACACTTCTACCAGACTCCTCAAATCCCACATCACGTCATCCCACACTTCTACCAGACTCCTCAAATCCCACATCACGTCATCCCACACTTCTACCAGACTCCTCAAATCCCACATTACGTCATCCCACACTTCTACCAGACTCCTCAAATCCCACATCAAGTCATCCCACACTTCTACCAGACTCCTCAAATCCCACATCAAGTCATCCCACACTTCTACCAGACTCCTCAAATCCCACATTAAGTCATCCCACACTTCTACCAAACTCCACATAACCCACATTAAGTCATCCCACAGTTCTACCAGACTCCACAAATCCCACATCAAGTCATCCCACACTTCTACCAGACTCCACAAATCCCACATTAAATCATCCCACACTTCTACCAAGACTCCACAAATCCCACTTGAAGTCATCCCACACTTCTACCAGACTCCACAAATCCC